CTCATACTGCCCGTCATCCCCAAAAGTCTCTGAGCAGATTTGGGCTGTACTCAGCAAGCGCAATACAGCCCCCAACTCAGATTTGAAAAAAGAAAAGTGGATGGCTGTTTTCTGACTGATCGGCAGAACGCCAACCGGTCAGCCCTTCTGGAGGGCTGCAATACGGTCTGCGGTCGGGGTAGGCGGTCGGCGGGTATGCAACCCTGGCTCCTTTGTGTAATTCGTTTTGTTTTTCTCTGTGATGCCATGGAACCTGTGCTTTGTCTATTAGCTCGAAGAGAATTTTCGACTGGTTCTCCTTTCCTTTATGGTACTATAATACCTATTCTAGTATTTTTAGTTGTTTACTACTTGTCAAACAACCGATGACCTTGGGATATCATCATTGAACTGGCCGGCCCCAGGTAATTCGGAACGATCTTGCTTTGGTCTGGTTCCATCTGGATTTGGACTTCGGTCTGTGTTTCAGCAGTTCATCGGTGTACAAACTGAGCTATGCCCATTGGTCAGTTGTATAGGCTTTTATCTCATCGCACTCTTGGTCTGTTTATTGCATGCATTTTTTTGATTCACATAAGAAGGGAATCAACCCTCACCAGGATCTGAGCCCTTACCCGGCCTACTAATACCTTCAATCGTGAGCCTAAAGAAAACAGTTGTATTGAATCGCAATCCAGTTATCTTGATTTCTGACGTTCTACCTCAGACTTGACTAACAAGCCCAAGATTGAAAAAATGAAAAGAATTTGTTCCAATTTTCCCCGAGGTGGTGTCGTTTGTCTGTTCGTTTTGTCGAGTGTTTGACCCATTTCTCGTACTTTGGATTACTTGTCAGGAACTGGCTGCTGCCTGTGAAGCGGTTGATGTGCCGAAGTTCACACAGATTGTGCAGGAGTTTGATAGCATGAGCCGACTGGTAACGGCAGATCTCCTCCCATCTCTATTTGATTGTGAACTTCTTTCGCTGGTCCGTTAAGGGCCGTCTCTCTCTCTCTCTCTCTCTCTCTCTCTCTCTCTCTCTCTCTCTCTCTCTCTCTCTCTCTCTCTCTCTCTCTCTCTCTGTGTACACAAATGCGCCCTTCATTCTCTTCATCTCCTGGAAAATTTCTCCTTCTCCCCTGTGACCGCTTATTGATTCTCTTAACATCTTGCATCATATGTCGTGCGTGAAAGAAATAGGTGATTCACACGGTCGCAGCTTGTTTTATATGTTTGTTAACTGGTCAACATGCGGCTACGTCAGATTCGCAAGAAGTTTATTGTCCAGGGGTGGGGAAAGAAATTAAGGTCCTGGCATTGCTGTAGCAGAATGGTACATCCATGTGGCAACATTTAGTCAGGACTTAAACCCAGTCAAATGAAAGGTGGTTATATGTCGTCCTTTTCTTTCCTAGCTTTTCTCTGATCACTGAACGATTGTAACCTGTGGGAAAGGTACTGGATAGTTTGTGGGGCTGCCATGGGCTAGGTCGGGGAATCCCGTAGAAAATGCATCTTCGATGCCTCAGGTATTAGCTACACAGCTTGATTCATTCAGTCATTCCGCTTCAAGAAGAGGAAGGAAATAGTGTGATTGTTCCGTGTCTCTACAGATTTGGAAGCACTTCTGTTGCAATTCTTCTAAGTTCGAACTTAACATGACCTGAGATGCATTCTCTGTTTGTTGAACGCTCAGAAGTGTTGATCAATTTCAGTTCCTTAGACATCGTTAAAAATTCTCTCTGAAGTTTCTGAACTGCTGTTTTCAATGTTAGCACTGTTTGCTGTGACGCTGACCGGATACTGTTTTCTTACGCGTCCGTGCTGCTGTGTGTTTATCCTTGTACAGGATGCTTGGAAAACGACGTTGTTGCTGCGCACAAAGAAGGGTCTGGAAGAGAAGGAGAAGAATGAAGATGTGCTTCTGTGATTGGTTTGGAAAGCATCTGAGATTTCACTGTCTACCATTTCTATTGTAGGGTGGTCCATGTGGGAGCTTCACACTGGGGTCTAATGAGTCATTTGGTTTGGGCAACCCCCAATTCTTTCAGACGGTTTCAGGTACGGGTAGATGGGTGGGCCAGGGGGTGAATGTAGATGTCTCTTTATCTCTGATATCCTGTACAGCATTGCGTAGAAGATTCACCGTCAGGTTTTTGAATCACTAGATGTGCTCCCGCTGTTCGTGACTCACCAGTCAATTGAGCCTTTACTAACTAACCCGCTTGCTTCTTCTCGAAAGCCTGTCCTAAGATTTGCTTTCTTGCCCATCACCAGTTCGGCATTTATGCAATCACCGCATGAGGTGCACGCCATGTTGCAAACACGTTTTGCATGTTTGTGCAGTCGTGACGTGTATGCTGTGTTGTTATCAGGAAAGAACATGTACTCGAGAATAAACAGGTGGGTTGGTGATGGGTGGATGTGGGGGGAAAGAGAGAGAGAGAGAGAGAGAGAGAGAGAGAGAGAGAGAGAGAGAGAGAGAGAGAGAGAGAGAGAGAGAGAGAGATCGAATTCTTCTCCTCCTCTTCTCCTCCTCTTCTCCTCCCCTCCATATATGCCTACTTGCAATGGGTTCTCTATAGTGTATGACTGTGAAACCGGGTACCTGCAGATGTGGGTTGGTGATGGGAGTTCACTTCTGAGCAATGGATGCTCTATAGATGAATGTGACAGCCGGTTCCTGACTTTACGTGAGGGGAGCTGGAAGAGAATTTGGAGCCTTGGAATTCAATCAATTCTGGAAGGAAAAGTGGAGCTAGAATGTTTCCTATCAGAATATTGGATGATGAATAGAGGATGGAAGGAGGGAAAAGAGGGTGCTCCTTACTGGCCAAACCCATAACCCAACTCCTGCTCTTTGGATCAGGAACAGGGGGAATATATATCATGAATTTTGGAATCTTCTGGTGAATCTCCTCTGTCTGTTCAGGTAAGGTGAGACTTGATGAACGCACGACCATTCAACGAAGTTTCATTTGTGGTGAGTCCGCTGGAGCTGTACTGCTTTGTTGGCTGCTCAATGAGCGAGGAGTCACAAGTTTGCTGTCTGTGAAGTCAGAAGAACACGTTGACTGTCTGGTCCGTGAAGTCGGTGAAGTCTTGGTTCGGTCGCAATGATGCACGAAATGGAGCTGAGTTGAGATCATGCTCGCGGGCACGTCATCTAGGTGTGTACTTTTCCTTGGCGTTTGTCTGGCTCCTGGGCGACCGAAAAGAAGTCCCCCGGGCCCCAGATGATGTACCAGAAACTTCCCAAGTGGGACACAATTGTTGGTGCTGAAGTAGTCTCCTTCCCTCCCCAGGTGAGAGACCAGAAATTTCCCGTCACATGTGTGGCACATTTGTTGGTGCTGTGTGTACGAATGCTTGGACATCGGAAGGTCTCAAGTGCTTGGTCACAGCGTTCGATCAAAGCGCAGTTGAATTGAACTCCAATTTAATCTCTTGTATCCTCTCCATTGTTTACCTCTCTCCATATTGAAGTCGGCAGCTTATAGATGGGGATTTCTGGAGATAGGCCAGCAGGACGTGGACACTGCTTATTCCTTAATGGTCTGATGTGTTACTCCCTCCCATATGAGGACAGGAGGTTCCGATAGACCTTCAGTGAACGCGGTGGTCTAGAGTTCATAGTTGCGAGCCATAGCCTGGTTATTATATGGCTTTGTGTGCCAGCGACCCCGAAGAACTGAGGTGCTGAGTTTCGTTAACGGTTCCATGTGCTGTCTATTGAAGTTTTAGCGACGTCATATGGATTTGGATTTGCATCCCAGACTCTTCGTATAACCGCCATGGATCAGTCTAGATGCGTCCCCACAAGGTCCTTTGCATAGATTAGCATACAACAACCCGTTCCCTACCGCTGCAAGTCTGTTCAGCTGGTTGTTGTTTGTGTAAATCCCTACCGCTCTGCAAGTCGGTTCAGCTGGTTGTTGTTTGTGTAAATCCTCAATGTCGGCAAGCTATTTGCCAGCTTCTGCCTCAGCTGGCCAAACATTGGAAATGAGCTATATTTCTCCCGTCTTTGCTGGCCCTATCTATAGCTGGCTTTTGCCTTTAGTTGCCTTTTTTGTATTTGTGGAATGCTGCTATATAAAACTGCCCCCACTTTTTTAGATGCTAAGAGAGTGGGTGTTGAAAATTGGGTTGCCTGTGAGCTAATCAATGCGGGAAATGGCCTGTTGTTCGCAGTTGGCAGATGTTTGGGCCATCGTGGGAAGAGGCCTCTGTGTGGGCACAATTGGGGAATGGAATGTGGAATGTAGCCTGAATCTTATATAATATACAGGGTACTCAGATGTACTCCAGCTTCAACTCCTTGGCCACGGTGACTTTGTGGCGATTCAATTGAACCCGTCGAACCAGCTCTGGCGATTCGATTGAACCCGGTGCACCAGCTCTGGCGATTCAGTTGAAGCGGTTGAGCCAGCTCTGCATGGCGAGGTTCGGGATTTTTGGGAATGGGGAACATTTCCCAGTTTGTGGCGTTGGGGCATGCTCCAAAGAAAGGAAGCCAGAACACAGAGGGAGCTATGAATTCACTGTGGAAAAGGAGGGACAGGACAGAGTATTCCTCCCTCCATGAATTGAATTTCTTTGTCATTTGGATGCAGAGAGACTGAGTAGAAAAAGAAAAGCTACATCAGAATAGAGAGTGGTTTGAAGATGGCATACCTTTCTCTTGCCCTCCTTTCCTTTCCTTTCCTTTCCTTTCCTTTCCTCTCCTTCCCTTTCCTTTCCTTTGTTACCTTGCTTCTTTGTTTCTTTGGTTGTTTGAGCTCAACTCTGATAGTCTTGCATACTGGTTTGAAATTGTCAACTTGTCATACCTTTCTTTTTTTTTTTTCTTTTTTTTTCTTTTTTTTTTTTCTTTTTTAACAGGGCCTTTTGGTCCTAGCTCCTTCTATTCTGGGGAGCGATAGTCCGGTTCCTATTCCACCGGCAAGTCAAAATAAACGTTACATCGATGGAAAACTGACGCACGCTTCCTTCCGTCCGGCCGAAGGACCCCTGAATAGCATTGATTACTCCACCGCAGTGGAGGATTGACTGTCAGCTTGCCCTGACCCTCTCTTTCCTCTCAGACCTGGAATCCAGATCTGCCGGATAACGCCTTTGACCCTAGGAAGAGTTCATCCGTTGTCCATGCCGACCTGTTCCTTCCTCACACTCCTCCCTACCCCCTGGGATGAGCGACCAAAAGGCCTTAAACCCTAAACCCTCGGCCTGTGCTCCTGTCCTCTGAAAAGTCGACCTTGGGAGCTGGCTAGACTTTGTTTACTTCCGGACCACTGTGACCAAACCTACTCAGCAACCCCCGTGCATATTCCTTTTGTTGCTTCTGTCTACACCCTAACCCCTAAACCCTCAGCTGCAATACTGTGGAGATTGTCATCTGTTTCCTTGTCTTTCCCTGTGCTGCCTCTCAATGTCTCCATCAGAGACCCTGTCAGATGCACTTAAACGCGGGAAACCCTGCGAGAAGTTTACTGTATATCTTGATCGTTATAACCCTGGTCATTCATAACCCTGGTCATTCATAAGTGTCCTTCCTGGTCGTCTGCCAGGACTATGTAGTGCTGACGCCCTGAAGCTGAGAGAGGTGAGTGCTCCGTACATTCTGCAGCGGACAGGAGTTGTGCCAGTCGTTCCACCTGAGTTGGAGACCTTGAATGAACGCCACCTTTCCGTTGACMAGCCATATTTTTGTGAATTTCGCCAGAATCTCTTGCTGTTTCTCCTGATTTTCCTGAGCTTGAGCCCTGACTTTCCTCCATTGGGAGAGGACTTCAGTTTCCATTAAGGATTTGGTCGTTGCCCATACCTTCTCACGTGGATTACTGGAGTTATCCAGCGTTCTGGTGCATCTTTCCTTCCATATGACCCAGATTGTCACCTTTCGAATCATGCCATACCAGATGCTCTCCGACTTGTTAAAGTTAGTAGGGGTGTTAGTCCATAGAGGTATCTGGATTGGGTGTTCGGGGAAAGGAGAAGGAAACAGGTAGTTCCAGAGAGCAGCTGCTCTTGCCCAATACTCGGTAGCTTCCTTGCATGTGATTAGGCAGTGTGTGATGGTTTCCTGTTCGTTATCTGAGCATACTTCACAGAGATCTGAACTGTTCGGGTCGTTTTTCTGTCTTCTGATGTGTAGCCAACTGTTCACAGGAAGTGCGGCGTACGTAATGAGCCACTGCATGCTTCTTATTTTAACCGGGCGTATTGATTTATATTTCTGCCAGGGCACTTTGGCTATTTGTTCAGCTTCCTGGCCCAGTATTTTATTCCATCTTGCTTTGATTACCGGATCTGGGTCTTTTGTTTTTAGCAGCATTCTGTATCCCATTTTGACTGTGTATTGCGTAAGTTGGATTGGCGTTTTGCAAGTTCCGTTGTTTTCGGACCATGCCCACTCAGCTGGGTCAAACTCTAGTTCCTGGATTAACTTGTCATACCTTTCTTTCATTTCCTCTTGAGGCTTTTGTATCCTGACCTGTCTTCTTTGTTTTCATTTGTTATTCGAACCCGACTTTGTGTAGTATCATGCCCTTCAGTTTCAGATTTGTTTTACGGTTTTTCCTTAATTCACGTCTCTGTTTCATATGTTGTTTGTGCTCAACTTTGCAGAGTGTTACACAGTATTGCACGCTGGTTTTGAAGCGTAGCTTTCTTTCCTTTGCTTCCTGCCCTGTCCTTTTCCTTCCTTACCTGTCTTCTTCGTTTTCATTTTTCGTTTGACGTTAACGTTGCATAGTATTGTGTGGTTTGTTTCAGATGTGTTATGAGCTTTAATTTTGTGCCTAAGGAACCATCTGATGGGAGACTCGTGATTATATTCATGGGTTTTGAGGTCTGGAAACACATGGCCGGCAAACGTGCAGTCTTTCTTGATAACATCGACCGACTCATGACGGTAGGTATTTTCTCTTCCCTTTCAAGTGATTCATACCGTGGAGAGAATCGTCAGCCATGTTGTGCGAAACCGCAGAAGTCAGTTACGATGACACGTAGTGCCCCAGTTTGACTGAAGTCACCTGGATGAGGTAAGAACGGGAGTGTGAGATTTGAATGTCATCTCAGAGAAACGGAGAGAGGTGAAAGGATCCAACCAACCCAGATCAAGATCAAAGTGGCAACGGCACGATCCACATGATACGAGCACACAAACAACTTCATTACTAGTAATGATATATGCATGTTTCCAAGATCGTGGCTATGGCTGCCAGCAACAGCGAGAGCGGGAAAGTCTCTCTCTCTCTCTCTCTCTCTCTCTCTCTCTCTCTCTCTCTCTCTCTCTCTCTCTCTCTCTCTCTCCAACAACTACTAACAGCGGCCAGGTCCTGCGATCACTCTCGGAATGTGCCCGCTGCTCTTCCTCTCTCTCCTGTCGATTATGCAAGGTCACAGCTGTGGCGCCGAGCACCTTCAACGGCGCTCTTGCCAGGCACTGCTTAGCAACGCAGCAGTGCTTCAGTATCTGCCAGAACCGAAGAAGAAGAGGTTCCCGTCGTTCACCTTCCTTCTGTGCCGGTGCCGGTGCCTCCCACGTCATTCTGGATTTTTCTTCCAGGCCCTTCTGCGGCAGACATAGATCCGGTCTGTCTAGGATCCTCTACTGTTCCTACCAGTGTTATCCTATCAGATCTCTTTTTTTTTTTTCTTTTTTTTTTGCTGGGGATTGAACCCAGAATCTCGGTTAAAATTGGAGCGATGAATCTGTTAAAATTGGAACGATACAGAGAAGATTAGCACGGCCGCTGCGCAAGGATGACACGCATAAATCGAGAAATGATCCTATCAGATCTCTGTTTTGTTTATGTACAGTACCTACCGGAATGTTCTGCTTCGCCCCCAAGGTACAAAAAAAATATGGGACCTTGTACCAGGGCCGTACTGCGGCAGTGAACGAACCCCCTCACTCCCGCCAGCCTGGCTTTGAGGTTCTTCGAGAAGTACTAGTCAGTTAGGTGAAGCTGCCTTGTAGTAATACCTCTAAGGCTATAGGAATTTGGCAGTGGTGGTTTGCCATGAGTTACTCTCGCATGCCAGAATCTGAGATGGTTATGAAGACTTTGCTTGAGAAATGGTTCATCAGGATGAGACGACGATAGCAGCATCAGGAATAAGCTTATCTTTCAAAATCATGCATCCCTCTGCATGCTTGTGCTCATAATGCAAGATTATGCGAGGTGCGGTCTCACGCAGTTGTTCTTTGGGGGACCACCTATCCTCCTCCAGGTCTCGGTATTGCGGTCAAGTTGTTGAAATCGGTATCCCCCGTCTCCCGGTTCTAAGTTCAGCCTGATCTACAATGCGGTCATTGTCATATCTACCGTCCATGTGAGGCAGAATTATTGATCGTCATGAGGGAAAGGATTCTCCCGAATTAGCAGTCTACAGCTTCGAAGCATGGAAGACTGGATAAGCGCAGAAGATGCAGACAATAACTACCATCCAGAAGGGAACAACTACATGGTCCTCCATAGGCAGGTAACAATTTCTGAGAAATTCCTTCTTCAGGAACAAATTCCTTGGACTTCCACCCGGACTTCACTGCATAGAACAACTCAGTGCACCCGTCAACAGACAGAATAGCGAATGCATTGCACAGGGGATGGAAGCCATGATGACCTATAGTTTTGTCCGTCTATGGGTCGCCGTGGCTTCCAACCCTGTGCAATGCATTAGCTGTTCTGTCTGTTGACAGGTACACTGAGTTATTGTGTGCAGTGGCTACCTTAGGGAGGTGCTTGTCCTGATCTACCTGATCTGGTCTAATATACTTACGAAGGTCTGTTGCAACAACTTATTCATTTTCTCTATCTGACCATCAGACTTGGGTTCCCTACCTGATGACATGGTCAATTGCGATCCATTCACTTTCGTGTGTTGCTGCTAGTGTTCCCCTATAAATCTGACATTCTATCACTAACTATAGTCGAGGGATGTATGGATCACAATCGACCGTATCATCAGGTAGGAAACCCCAAGACTACTGGTCAGGCAGAGCAGATGAGTAAATTGTTGCAACAGACCCTTCTAGTAGATTGAGACAAGCACCTCCGTGAGGTAGCCAGTCCATACAATAACTCAGGCAACTGTCGACCAAAGGAACACTTAATGAGGACAACAGCGCACATGTCAACTAACAGAACACTTGATGAGGAAAACGGTCATTCCATGACCATAGCGAGTCACAGAGATGCTAGGTTTGCGGGGGAACACTGGCAGCAACTCGTGAACGGTCATTACTTGACCATAGTGAGTGATAGAGATGCAAGATGGAAACTATCACGCCACACTTTGTGCCGGCACACAGGAGAAGAGGTTAACAGAGTCCTAAATTTTCAGGAATTTTTCAGGGTCATTATAACAAACGTCCTATACCTTTTACGCCAGACTTGTCACCAGTCCATAGAGCGGACACCAAATAAACCAACAGAAAAAAAANAAAAAAAAAAAAAAGAAAGAAAGAAAGAAAGATCGAAGGGGCCGTAAACCCCAAGGCAAAAGTGTGTTTTCATGCAAAATTCACTCTTTTCAGTTTTCAGGATTTTCAGGATTTTCAGGGCTGGCCAAAACAGTGAACTCCAAGACCCCAACAACCACCGAACTTGCCTCACAGGCGTTCCCGAATTTTCTTGGTAGAGGCAACTTCGTTGTAT